AGGATTTTCATTGGGATGTAGGTAATATGGATTTGATGAATTGGTGGAAAAATCGGTGAAGCTCTGGTTAGCCATGGAGAAAAAGAAATCAAGAATGTGCAGACTTGTAAAGAACGAATCTGCTACCAAGAGAAAGAAAAGGAGACGATGGCTACCAGAGCTATGGAAGCTCTGATACCATGTTAATGTTCAGATAACAGAAGTAACAGGAAAATAACCAAGATCCATTAAAGAAGAAAGTCCAAGAGGAAGTTCTGTTATGAAACAGTAAGAAGAAAAAGGATGGATCTTGCATTGATTTCTTATCCATAGAAAATGGATACTTATATACATTTTGTATAAAAAATGAATGGATAGAAAATAATACACGTGGCAATCATCTATTGCAACAAACTAAAAAGGAAAAAGAATATTTATATATATATACACTAATAGAGTTAGGATAAAATCAACATGCAGTATGCAAATGAAGCTTGCTCATCTATCGAATTATAGGGTCACTACCAAAGAAAATATTTGGGAGTCCCTTTAAGTGGCAAGAAAATAAAAAAATAAAAAATTATTTTCAATACATTATACATCATATTGCTAGAAAACAAGCGAATTGGAAGAGAAATAACCTCTCTAGAGAGAATTATTATTGTCAAAAGTGTGGTAGAATCAATATTTTAAAAATCAGATTGGTAGATTGAACCGTTCAACTTTAAACCATTATCTAATTCAATTTGGTTTGAATCAATAAACAGTTAGGTCTATAAAATTGAAATAAAAATTGCTTTAATCGCAAAAAACTAAAAAATTGGAACCAATTTTAATGAACCAAACCGTTCAAAAAATCAAAGATGATTTTTTTCCTGTTTTACTTCATTTTATTTCTCTATTTAAATCTAAAAAATTAATTATAACAAACGTTTAAAATTGTATAGATGAAAAAAAAAGAATAAAATTTGAAGACATGAGACAACGTAAATACAAATAGAAAGAGAAGAAATAATATAATGTTTGTGGACATGAGTAATTGATGTTGGTCTTGGAAGAGAGGTAAAAAATTATACTAATGAAGAACTTGTGTCCTTAAGTTAAGTAATTAGGACAAAGATATAAATATTGATCCTTAACTAATTTTCTGATTTGTTATTGCGTCTTACATAGCATTCTTTTTATTTTGTAAGCTTGTTTATTAGTATCGTATTTATTTGAGAATTTTATTTTAATAACTATGATATAAATTAATTTTATTAGGATGTTTAATAATATATTTATTTATTTATTTAGTTTAAATTTAATATACAGTTCAATCACGGTTTAACCGGTTGAACCGATTGAACCTTGACCTACATGTTTTAACGGTTCTTTCTCCAGTTTGGTTTTTAAAACATTGGATAAAATCTATTCCTCTTTACCCGATGATGACCAACAAAATTCCCAAGGCTTGTCTGGAAGAGATTTATGGTATTGCTGATCCTAGAATAATTCATGTTATTGGTTGGGATACGATCACGAAACCCAAAGCAATGGGGGACTAGGGTTTAGGAACTTGGAGTTGTTGAATAGAGTTTGCATGATGAAGTTAGGCTAGAAGATATTTATTAATACTGAGGATTTATGGTATAAGGTCCTGAGAGGAAAATGCATAAAGGAGGAGATTAACAGGTTTACTAATGCTAGAGGGTCTGATTTTAGCTTTTTGAAGGATATTGTGAGAATTATCCCTGAGATGCTTAATACAAGCAGGTGGAGCATTAGGGACGGCATAAGTATTGATGCATGGAAAGACAACGGGTTGGGCCTCAAAATGTGTATGGAAGGTTGTACATGATAATTCCTATCTCCGACCTGTTGAGCATGGTCACACTACGCCAAATAAGCTATTTAATAGCGCTTTTTTTTGTTTTTGATAGCGCTTAAAAGTGCTATTAACCGCGCCACTATTGTAAATATTTCTTATTTAATAGCACTTTAAAAGCGCTATTAAAGTACCAATTTATAATAACGTTTTAATTAAAGTGCTATCAAAGTCAGTATTTTGCATGTTTTTTGTTTGTTTTTTTATAGCACTCTAAACAAAAAGCGCTAATATATAACATATATTTGATAGCGCTTTCAAATAAAGTGCTAATAAATGGTACATATTTGGTACAATATTTTCAACCGTGCCGCTAATTGCAAGATTTCCAACCACAGTGATTTCCGCAACAACTTTCTTACCAATATCAATGTAATGAATGTAGCATTTTAATCAAGTCTTAATAAATGAAGCTGCTTATTCAACCTCAAAACCTTTTATACTTAACTAACAGAAAAATCTGGGTTTCCCCTATTAAATAATACTACACTTGTTGAATGAGGCGTGGTAAAACAACAATAGAGCCTATTTTATATATGAGATACTATTCATCCCTATTTACATGATATGATATGATATATCTATATAATGAATACAAAGTTTAGAAATGGTCATGAAATAAAATCATATTTTGTATATAAGAGATACTATCCCTAGTTACATGATATGTTATATCTATACAAAGAATATAAAGATTATAAAAGATCATGAAATGAAATCATATTTTGTATAAGAGATACTATCCCTAGTTACATGATATGTTATATCTATACAAAGAACACAGAATATAAAATGGTCATGAAATCATAATAAAATCAGGATTCAGGCGCACTTCGAAGCAAATGGTTGTTGAGACTAACAAAGCAAGCTTCATGCTAAGCTTGCTCTTTGGAAGCTAACAAGTGGCTACCAATAGCATCATTGTTTAAATACAGATAAGTTTTTTTGCCAGAAGATGTAGTAGTAGGTACGTTAGAAAAACCAGTGTAGTTGTCATTCAACTTCGATAAGCATATTTTCGCAATAAAATCAAAGAGCTCGTTTTCTTGCACAAAAGGTTGGGCTGCATAGTCTTCAACAGGCATCCACTGAATAGAAAAACAAACTATGTTGGAATATGGTCACCACCAGTCAAAAAACATCCTACAACTTTATAAAGATACCTTAGTTGCTTCAATTTCTGAGGCCTGACTTTGAATGTCAAAGGATTGAGGTTGCAACATGCAAACAAAGAACAAGTCTGATTTCTGAAAAAAAGATTTATGGCTTTGCCTGATACCAAAGAGACAGGAAGAAAAACATAAAGGTCAGTAGCAGGCCAGATATTGAAGACAGAAAATTTGTGAACTATATGCATGCATTCTAATGATTCTTGTGTAAAAGATATAGTTGTGCCAACATTCAGACTGCATGCTAGTTGACGAGGTTGGTGTGTGTAAGTCACTCTTACCTGAAAGCTAAAACTTCAACAAACTCTGTCTCTACCTACATGAAGAACAAAAGTAATGGCATTAAGACTTCGAAATGAATAGTCCATTTTTTGTTTTAATATACAATGGTGTAATATAAATTTTGAAGAATGTTTAGTTAAATATATTAATAACAGACGGTGACAAGAAAAAAATGAAATAGAACAATTTAATCTGTACTATATTTTGTGTTTGCTTACCCCTGTCTCTTCCTTCACTTCTCTAATTACAGCATCACAAATATCCTCGCCCTGCAAATATGATAAAAATGAATCAAAAGAACATATTATAAGTTTCATAATTTGATGAATAATCATGTTGATATATACTTCATTAACAGCTCCAGTAGGCATCTTCCATACACCTGTGCCTCCAAATCTACCACTGGTTTCCTGAACCACAAGCACCTATCAAACAAAACGAGACTGTTTAAAGTATAATATAACAGAATGATTGATGAGAAAGAGAAATGAAAGAGGAAGAAGATTACCTCTCTTTTGTTATTGACGACAAAAGCACCAACGCCGAGACGGTGTGAAGCATTTGCAGGAATGCTATCAGGGGTATGAGGGATCCAATATACAAGCATCAAGTAATCTGACTCAGCATGATGGTACCTAAATCCAGCCTGCAATGCAATAAAAAATTCAGATAATACTAATATTGGGTATTCAATTACCAAAATCTTATTGGTCCTAAATCATTCAATTTGCCTCAGTCATCATAAATAGAGTGATCACTCTAATTCTACACAAACAAATCACCTTACCGATTCCTTTATGACAAAATTCCAGACATAAACTCATTAAAAATATTTGGCACACTATGTTATGCTTCTATCCTTGTGCACAGAACCAAACTTGATCCAAAAGTTTAAAAAAAAATATATTTCTTAAGATATACATATCTGGCCAGAAATGCAATGTCCTTCTTGACATTGCCTCAAAAGAAATATTTGTATCAAGACATGTTTCCTTCCATGAACATATACTTGCTTATCAAAAAACTTAACCATCGCCATACACTTTCTGGCACACTATTTCCCATTTGCACTTACAAATTTCAGCACAGACAATCTTACCACAACTCCTGATCCAATCATTTCAGCCCAAACAATTCCTTCAAATACTTATAAAAGCCATTGGCAATCATGACACTTCTTCCATACCTAACAGAACATCTTCAAGATTGAGAAATCATCATTCCTATCTCAGACTATAACGGCAATTCCACACACCAATCATCCAAGCCACACACAGCTTGAACTTGATGCACTTGAGAAACTGGAACATGAAAATTTGTAGATTTACCTCTAAATGTTAAGGCAACTGGATATACTAAATCAAACATCTAGCTTATGGTTCAATTGACTAAATTTACAACTAAATTGGTTGACTGAGACTCGTCCCATGAATTTGAATATTATTGGAGTTCAGCATGTACCAAAATTTTAATGAACATTAACCACTGTTATAAATAAAACTAAACTTTAGCTCATTGTATAACCAACCATAAAATAGACCAAATATCAATCCAAAAATTTGAATCACTATACTAAGTAATAATATTCTATATAAAAAAAAACAACCAAATTTCCAATAGCCTTCTGTCAAGATTATGGTAAATCTAATTTACATTTTGTTCATGCAAAGAAGCCACAAAAGTTATGCAATTAATTTCTTACTTTATGCAGCCAAGACTTTCTTCAATCCCGATTTCTGATCTGCATTGAGCCGAGGTGGGAATTTGATGTTGAACTTTATCCTCAAGTTTCCCTTCTTTGTTGGATCCTTTGGCAGTGGCATTCCTTCTCTTGGAACAACTTCCTCATACTCAGGATGAACGACATTGTTGACGATTATAGTCAAGTTTCTACCATCAAGTGTCGTGAGATTCACTGTGCAGCCGGATAATGCTTCTGCAAGAGAGATCTTCTGAGTGGCTACCAGATCATTTCCTTCACGAGTGAAGACGCTGTGTGGTTTTTCATCGATGACGAACACAATATCAGCAGGTACGAACACAGAGAATCAACGGATAGCAGAAACTGAAAAAAGAAATATTACCGGATACACATATGGCATGCAGTGGCAGATCTGACATTCGCATAGGTACATTGCTCACAAGACCAATGATTATCATCAGTAATTCTGCTGGACATGCTAGCTCGAACCGTCCCCTTTCCTCTTCCGCCTCTTCCCTTGCTGCTCCCTGCAGCATTTTTTGAACCCGTTGCTTTACTGGAAGCAGCTCCATTGCTATCCACATCGCATAAACCATTCTCTAATTCCCTAACCAAATTCTCAAAGTAGTTTCTAGTCACACTGCAAAAACAAATGAATTAGAAAATTAAACCATACAATTTGGGCACCATAATTATTCATTAGCTATGTCATTATTATACTATTCATTGGTATATAACTGCATGCTGAAACAAATTGTCACACCAACAGAACCAATAGATGGTAAACATTCTAAAACATGAATAGAAAAGCAAACAAAACAACATGCCAAACATATGAATTTCATCAAATGCACGATAGGTATGAATCATGATGTACAAAATGCATATATTTCCATTACAAGATTCCATCTCGAGATGTAATAGCAGATTTACCATTTCTAATTCAAAACAAATGTACAAAGTATGTCTCTTTTCAGCAAACTTGAGGAAAATGTATCAAATATGAAGTCAAACTCCAATCAGAACAAAAAAAGTAAATAAAAAAATGGGAAAATTCTGAACAAAAACAATAATAAGTAATAACATTAACCTGGTCAATCCAGCTAGCTTTGTGCGAAAATCATTGAAATCTTTAGATGGGCCATCACCATTGAGGAATACTTGGAGTTCCTTTTCGGCACATTGATGAAGTCTCTCTAAACCTGATTCAGCCTCACCTGAAGATAAAGAAATTGAATAGTTTATTTCAAGGAAATCACCCAAAATGCAAGACATCTAATCAAATTGAAATTGACAACAAAAAAACCTTGCAAGTACTCAAAGAACTGCTTTTTCGCATGCTCATGCTCCGCTAAATAGAATCCATATGCATATGTCCACTTTAATACCCGCCTGCACTCAACTATCTGCAGAGGTGATACAGAATTTAGAGAGATATTAGACGTCTATTTTACAACAGTCAAAGACATTTCACATCACCCAGCTTCAGAAAATAGTTTAATGAAAAACTTCATTTGTGTCCTTGGGAGAGGGTTATGAAAATATGACTACACAACAGTCTAAGAAATGTGTAAGGCAAATTTATCACCCAGGTCATCAAAAAGGGATTTGAGACATGCATCATAAAACTAATTTTTTAATTGTGATACACAAATCATACCAAATCATAAAGTCTGGAAAGGACAAGAAAAATAGCATGAAACATATTAAATAAATTATGCACTGTTGAAGCTAAATTATCGATGTGAGATGAGTCACCTAATCTACGGATAGTGTTCTCGAAACATGTCAAAATTCAGCAGGAAAAGAAAATTTCATAAGGAATGACATTTGATGAAAACTAGTAGCTAGCATGATTGTTAATAAAAAAATTGTGAGGCATCAACGCAGGGCAAATATTTCAACCGAGTAATACCGGTTAGTTAAATCAAACCAAAACTCGATCAAGATGTTTCACACCAGCTGAATGCCGTTCCTACCATCTGCAAGATTCAGTTTTTCCTCATAAAGCTTTATGAGATCAGAAGAATGCTCCTCAAAGCCTTTCACAAACTTCTCCACAAACAACTTCTCAGATACAACAAACGGCGTATACACGCCTGCATCCTTCCGTCGCAAGCCTTTCGAGATAAGAAACTGCACAACCGAAGCTCTAGGAATAATCCTCTTCTCGAGACTGCATTGAAGAATTCCAGGAGCTCTGGCAAGGTCCAAAGAATCCAAACCTAGGTGGTAAACCCAAAAATCCATGATTGCATTGATTTTCCGAGGCGATACCAGCATACAGAAAGGATGCTTCTTAAATGTTTCAAGAATCTGTTCATCAGACCAGCCCCATTTCTTAAAGGTTTCAACTTTCTCATCCCACTGCGCTTTAGTGGCACTTCTCTTCGCGAGAAACGCCTTACTAAAAGCGGAAGTGGAGCCATCGAAACCGAGTTCTTTCAGTTCTTCAACAGTGTGCAACAAATCAAATGAGCAAATTATACTAGGCCACCAATGAAACAGCCTAGAAATATTAGAGTGAGAAACTCCATTATCAAGCAACAATTTGACATTTTCAGGCAGCCCACTTTGACAAAGAAAACAAAAACGTTTAACACAAGCAATGGTTTTTTTGTCAGATTGAAGAAACCCTTTTGCACATTGATATGCAGGAACTATATGATTCTCTAAGCTTCTTCTAAGAAGTCTAGGGCTTGAATTAACAATACGAACAATATCAGAGGAAGAAGCGCCTTTGGAAAGTAAAAATTGAAACTTTGGTAAAAGAACCTTGTTGGGGTCGCATGAGAGTAGCCAGGGTTCACGTCTGATGATGTCGCGGAGTTGGGAGATGGAGAAGCCGTGGGTAGTGAAGAAGGCGAGAATTGAATCGGGTTTTTGGGAGTTGGAGAGAGTGAGATTTTGGAAAGCTTTGGAAGCGGTTTCTGGGGAGAAGCCGCAGTTGTTGATGAGGTAAGAGACGGTGAAAGATTGTGGGTTAGTGGTGGAAATGGAGAAGAATTTGAAAAGGGTTTTTGGTATAGGAGAAGGAGAAGAAGATGGTGTTGTGAGTAGGAGGAAAATGTTTTTGTTTTTGGCGGTGAGTGGATCTGAAAATGTGTTTTTTTTTTTTTTTTATCAATTAATTAATTAATTCATTATTATATATAACATAGAGCTTTTTAATAAATGCTATTATATAGGTAGTCAAATAATAGCGTTTTATACAAAATGCTATCTTAAAGAAGTTTAATAATAGCGTTCTGGTACAAAGTGCTATCATAATTACATAGTCTGTATTATATAATAGCGCCCGATTAAAAAGTGCTATTATAAATGTGTTTTTTCCATTTTAATAGCATTTTTTTTAAAAGTGCTATTAAATTAGGTGATACAAAAAATCATTTTTGGCGTAGTGTCACTATATTTTATAGAGTATTCTTGGGTATGAGATTTCGAAGAACTTTAACAATAAGGTAATGGATAGGGAGGCGGAAATCAGTAATGGTAGATGGCAGCCACCTCCCAATGAGATGGTTAAGTTTAATACAAATGAGGCTAGCAAAAATAATCTACATGCTGGTTGGGATGGAATTATTTATGATGCAATGGGTAATTGGCTTGGTGGCTTCTCCAAGTATCTTGGGCAATGTAGTGCATCCATGGCTGTATTATAGGGAGTAGTTGAAGGGATTAGACTTTCTAAAGCTTTAGGGATGAGAAGGTTAGAGCTTAATATTGATTCAACGTTAGTTGTATAAGCTCTGGGAGAGGCCGGAGATCCAATAATGTGAATGGTTTGGCTCTGATTAGAAAAATCCATGAACTTATAAAAGATTAGGAGAGTTTCAAAGTCTTGCATGTGTATAGAGAGACAAATGTTTGTGCTAATGGTCTTGTAAATGCTGCTTGTATGCTTAAGCATTCTTTTATCTATAGTGATATACCTGCCTTCTTGTAGAATGAAAAATGATTATATAAATTCAATTGTGTTAAATAATCATAAAAAAAGAAAAAAAATGACTCGTGAGATGAAGAAAGAAAAAAAAAGGAAATTTTGATATTTTGAAATAAGGATTTTGTCTTTCAAATCAAGTAAAATTATTGATTAAAATAAAATAGACATTGTATTGATAATGACCTGGGAAAAAAATAATTTCATACGATATAAAATGTATTTAGATACACATATAAAATTTTAAATTCTTTACTTAATAACATCCATGTTAATAGCATAAAACGATAAATTGTATAAGTCTACAAATATGACTGTATTGAAATGTATGAAATATCCATGCCTCTAGATCTGTAGTGTTAATATCACCAGAGTCGTAGATTGGATCTGCACTAGATCAAAAATAATATTTCAACCTGAAACAAATGAACACTGCACAAAGACGGGAAAACAAAATGCACCACTCAAAGACGAAAAATTAAAATACACCGCAGAAAGACGAAAAATCAAAACAATCAACGATGCACTAAAATGATGAAATCACAAAAAAAAAATACAAAAGAAATGATAAATATATGTGAAAATCACTTATTTAACTAATAGAGAAATAGAAACCATTTGAAGGGAGTGACTTTGGATCAAAATCAATCCTAAATCACCCCTCTCTGAGAGATGATGAAGAAGAAGAAAAGTTATAACGACTAAGGTTAGAGGATGAGATTATTGATAAACCTATGTTTTAAAGAGTATATCTAAAAGGATTCAGTGACTTTGCTATACAATAACTTTAATAACTTTGAGTAATTAATTTATTTTTCACATCAACATAATATATAATAACCATTCATTGTAAACTAAAGTCATGAAAAATGTGCTACGGAAAAGTTGACGTAGTCAATCCCCACATTCAATGATTCATATGTATAAAAAAATTTAAAATTAACAAACTTTTCACTCTTTAAAGTAAATAGTAAAATATATGTGTCTATGGACAGTTACTGATATCATACGCACAATTGTTTTTAAAATGTTATGAAAACAAAATGAAGTAAAAAAGACAAAATCGCTTAGTAAAACAAGTTTTTTTTTAAAAGAAATATATATTTTTATCTTTATTTTTACATAAATATAATTTTTTCATATATAAAAATATTTGGATCAACTATATATTTTTCTCGTATGTAAATTACAGTTTTGGTCCCCTCTTTTTGGTTTATTTGTGGTTTTAGTCCCCCTATTTTATTTTTAAACACTTTTGGTCCCCCATCTCCCCTTTGGCTTTAGAAAACGACTATACGTCACTTTTTTTAATACGTGGCATTTTATTTTCGTTTTTATTTTTCCAAATTATTTTATAATTAAAACTAATTGTTGAATGATTTTGATATCACGAAATATTGGTTTATTTAAAGGAGAAGTCCATCTTGTTCATCGTGTTACCGTTTTAGGATTCTACTGTAGCTTATTTTTTAGGGTTCCAATGCAATTTTCACTACTACAAAATATGCATACATCAACGTCCAAGTCACCATGGTTATTTCAAACATCGTGGTGACATCTCTAAACTCAGGTGCTAACATTATTTATTTATTTTTTAATTAAAGATTGTTAGGATATAATAACAGTTCATGAACTCACCGTGGTGATACAATCAAGCGTTCATGGGTTCGAACCTCAACTCCCTCAAATATTTTATTCCTTTAAAGTTAAAGCACACCTTTTATTTTTAATTTATCTTTAAATAAAAATAAAAGGATATCACTACGGTTGTTTTGTTCAACCGTTGTGATATATTTTTTATTTATTTAAAATAATATATCATCACGGTTCGCCTTATCAACCGTGATGGAAAGTGAATTTTTTTGTATATATAAGCAAAATTATTTGTCGCCCAACTCATAGCAGTCGTTTCTCTCTAAAGAAAACCTAACATATCATCAACTTATGCACATCAGTTTTCTCCATGACCACTACCCCTAAATAGAAAATTCTTAAAAGAAGCTTAAAGGATACCTAACCGAAGCAACGTCCAACGCAAACTCTGATAGAGGAGAAGATGGTATGTTCTCATGCTCTCTCTTTCAATCTCTCTTTACTCTTCACTTTCTATCTTCTTTCTACTCTTTTTCTGGATGTTGTTGATGCTTAGAAGTTAGGATTATGATTTTAGGGTTTGGTTTCAACTTCAGCAGCGTAACACTAGGAAAATAGTAAACCCATTGCAATGAGTCAATATGTTTCTTTATAGAGTTTGTTTGTACGTGTGAAAAGTTGAAACGTGTGAGAATCTATTTTGATTTAATTTGTTTTTGTGAGTTTGTTTTTCAAATTAAATTATTTTTTAAATCGGTTTGGCTATGTATGTATGTGGGTGTGTAACAATGTGATATTATGGTTGTTGGTTGTATTGTAATGATACTAATGGTTGAATTTTGTTATTTTTCCTTGCAGATTAATGTGTTGGATGGTTAAGGGGATGATACATGATGATGATGGTGGTAGCAAGCGTATAATATGAGTTGATAACATGCTAAATGTTCTCATTTTTTCAGATTCGTCTTCACCACCTTAATAAAGTGCATACTTTGGCTATGGTACATATGGTTTGCGTTGCTACGGAAAAAATACAAGAAGTATGAAGTTATTTTGTAAAATTTATCCACCTTGTATTTATTTTTCATAGCATCACAAACTAGATGAACTTCATAGTTTGTTACATTTCCATGATTATTTTCAATAAATGGTGCATTCTTGAAACAATTTAA